ATATATATATATATATATATATATCTTATATATATATATATATATATATAAGTAAAAAAAATAGTAGATAAAAAAAGTTTTTTAATATTCATTTAAAAAAGTTTTTCAGTATTCAATTTTTTAGAATTATTTTCCTGAATAATTTAGTTATTTAAACAAATTACATCAGAATAATGTATAATTTAATAAACAATTATACCAGAAAATAAATTATTATTTAAACTAAAAACTTACATATTTTATTATACAATGGCATTAAAATCTGTATCAATAGAAATAAATAATAATAATATCAAGATAAGTATCAAGATAATAATAAGTATCTGTATCAATAGAAATAGATAATAATCTTGTTGTTTTGCGATGTGATCTTATTGTTTCATTCAATGTGACCATGAAACAACTTGTTAGAATACTTTGTTTCACAGATTTATGTTTTTCTCTTGAAATTATTTTCTTTAAAAATATATTATGATGTCGCGACATAAAAGAAAATTTAAATCAATGATTTAGTTTTAAATGAAACTATAAATAAAACTACTTCTAATAATAATATCTAATAATTAATTCTAGGTGCATAATCATAAAAAAGATGAAACAAATTCTATTTATATGGATATTGAATTTTAATTTAAGGTAATAACATTTCAAATAAATGTGTATCACTAAACATACGCTTATCTAGTTTCAAAAATTATTGCGACTAGATAATACAATGTGACAACAATTTTAGTACGATAACAATTGAATGAAATTGTAAATTTTAGTTATATAAAGTGATTTATAATGATTCTAAAAATAAAATTTCAAATTCATAATTATTTGCGGATTTATATATTAAAAAATGTATATGAAGATGAAAAATTATTATTCTTTGTTTAAGTATAAAATCTCAAAGGGTTAAAACAATTTTTTGGTTTCTTTTTCGGTAGAAACGCAAAATAGTTTCTTTTTCGGTAGAAACGCAAAATAAGTCTTAGAGTTGAAAAAAGAAAACTACATAGAGTGTTACTTTTAATAGACAAGAAAAAAAGGGTCAGGATTAACAAATTTTGGCTAGCTTTATGGGTTATGTTCAATGAAACTTCACAAAAAATTACAAGAAAGCGACCGACAAAAATAAAATATTATATCACATAAGGATTTTCAGGGTTGTAAATTTTTTTTATATAAAACTTATATAATGTAATGTGCATAATGTAATCACTGAATTTTATTCATTTCATAAATGTTTTGATGTAATTCACAATTATTCTCACTGTACATTGGAATTATTTAAATTGTCGGATTGTCATATCAAGCTTTATGGATTGAACATAACAAAAATTTAATAATTAAATTCGCTATTTAACTAAATTAATTTTTACAACAATCCAGATATAAAGAATTAATACACTTATCAATATTTAAAACAATTAAAATTTATTGCTAATTTTTGATTGAATTAATTTTTATTATTAATAATTTTTATTGAAAACTTTATTTATCTTAATTTGTATTTTTAATAATTCTGAATATTTATTTCATGCGTATTAAAATTATTATGTTAAGAATTTTTCGATAAAAAAATAATATATGTATATTTACGTTTACGATGTTTCTATAATTTCTTTATAGTTTAGCATAATTTAACTTGCAAATCTATTTCGTAACTCTTTCTTCGAGACTTTGCCTGTAACTGTATGCGGGAGTTCGTCAATAAACTTAACACCACCTCGAAGTCGACAATAATCCGGCAAATTCTTTTCCACTAAGGTGATAATTTCTTGTTCCGTTACCTATAAACAGTATACTTTTCTTTGTCAATGCTGTGTGTGTGTGTGTGTGTGTGTGTGTGTGTGTGTGTGTGTGTGTGTGTGTGTATGTGTGTATATTTGAACTCTCTATTGGAGCGAACTCTACTATTTAGCGTAAATTTTAAAAAACATTATTTTTTTCTCTTTCTGGTTTGATATAATTGAGAATGCGAGCGAGATATTTACCGTTTTTCCCGGTATTACAGAGACGATAGCCATTGGATGCTGTTCATCGATTTCGTGAGGCTTTCCTATCACCGCCACTTCGAATACCGCAGGATGAGTCAGTATAACAGTTTCGATTTCCGCGGGTGAAACATTAATTGCTCTGAAAAGAATAAAATCCGATATTCTACCAACGATGAAGAGTTCTCCATCATCGTCGTAATATCCTAAATCGCCAGTGCGTAACCAACCTGAAACGTTTTATGTTTTGCTTATTTTCGTATTTTATCATAAGACAGTGGTCTGAAAATTTCTATAAAATATAAAATTTCTATGTGGGAACATAGAAATACATACCATCAGAATCAAAAGCTTTTTTGGTTGCTTCAGGATTTTTATGATATCCAGTCATTACAAACGGCACTTTTACACGTACTTCTCCCACTTTATTAGCCCCCAGAATTTCTTCAGTTTCTGTATTTGTTATTTTTATTTGAACATTAGGTATCAAGAAACCAACCGATCCCGCTTTACTGTCTTTAGTTTGCGCAGTGAGTTCACCTGCTGCATCGGTAGAACCTGAGACAAAGCATTAACATTTACATTGTAGTAGTTAGAAAATAACGTAACAGTGATATTTTACATCTTCTTAGAAAGAAGAAAGAAAAAATTAACGAATATTTATTTAAATTTTTATTAAAATTTTAATTTTTTTTTCTTAAATTATTAAAATGAATAGTATTTTTTAAGAATTTAACATTTTGTTATTGTTCTTTATGACAGTTTTAAATTTGTATAATGAAGATAATTAAGGAATATAAGCGAAATCGGTGATAAACAATTTTTAAGTCAATAAAAAAATCAATGAAATATAATAATTAGTCAGAAACAAACTAATTTTAGAAGAAAAATTTAAAATGAATTTAGTAACTTACCGTAGCCATTATTTATTAAAACATGTGGTAATTTTTTTGCCAATGCTTCTTGATGTTGCTTTGGCAAAATAGAACCACTAGTAACAATAAGTTTCAATGTCGATAATCGATATTTATCTAACGTATCCGTTTTAACAAAATAAATTATCATAAATGGATCTGTAGCAAACCATGTTATCTGAAAGTTACGTTAAAATATTATGCTATTAAAAGGTCATTCTAGAACTGCTCTTTTATGTCTTAAGTAAGCGTTAAATTTGATTCGAATTTTAAAAGTCACTTTTATACTCACTCGATATTTTTCGATATATTCGCAAATCGTAGTTGCTGCTACATCATCTGCCACGACGTCTGGAGCAACAATTCTGGTTGCACCTGCCAAGATAGCTTTGAACGCTAGCATAACGCCGTACTGCCAACGTATTGTCGGCGTGAACATGCACACGTGACCTTTCAGTCCGGTGATTAAGACATGATTTAGACGATTATGCATAGAAGAGTGCGAGATCTCAGTAGCCTTTGGCATACCCGTAGTACCCGAAGAAAGAACAATGAGACCAACTTCATCCGGATTGCTGATCGGAGTGCATTTGAATTCGGCAATCTCACGACTATCATGGCCCTTCAAAATATCATCTACTGATTCGTATCCATCTAATTTGCCAAGGACCACTATTTTCACATTCATATTTAATTCCTTTGCTGCTTCTGTTAAACTCGCGGCCGATTGCGGTACCGTGAAGATAATGGTTGGCGATGTCAATGAAAGGAAGTATCGTGCCGTCACTGAAATAGAAATAAATAATTAAGGATCATTAAATAATATTAAAATGATTATATTATATTAATCTATCTTTAATAATACTTTAATCTTAATTTTTAATAATACTTCATATCAATTAAACTTTTTATTTTTTTAAAGTATCAACTTTTACTGCAATTATTTCCTGAACCTAAGCGATTTTATAAACTTATATTTAATTTTTAATTATACTTATGTAAAATATACATCAAATGTATACATTTTTAACATATAATATGATATTTTATTAAGAAGAATATGATAAGAAGTTGTAATAAGAAGAATAATAATAGCAAGCACAATTACGTACTTAAAGTGAGCTCATGATCCCATGTATTACATTTAGCATTTAAATATATAATCCCCAACAACACTATCATTGCATCTAGATTATTATCAGTACAAAGACCGATTATATCACCCGGCTTTACCCCTTGTTTCTTTAGCCAAAGTGAACATTTAATACTGCGCTCACTCATTTCGGCATAAGTATTTTGTTTGTCAGTAAGGACGTCTATCTGTATAATAATAGAACACATATTGATTATTTTTAACAAGAAATTATTAAATTTAATTAAACAATACTAAATTAAGTAGAAGACATTGTTTATTGACCTACCTGACCGATACAATTAGGGTTGCTTTTCAAAGCTTTTAGTATAGTTTCAGCGATATTGACAGATTCTCTATGTATTGGAATTTCTGGTCCCATTAAAATGTTATCTTTGATTCTGCCTTTAAATTTTGAGTTTTGCACCTTTAAAATACATTTTGTTAGAAAATTGTTATAATCAAAATGTATTGTCATAATTGATAAAAATATAAGATAGAAAATACACGTAAAAGATAAATATTAAAATTAAAAGATGTTTACAAATTTACAAATTCAAAAGATAATAGATCTCCAATTAATAAATATTATAATAATAAAATAAAGCAAAGTAGGATATATGTATATTATGATAACAGAAAACATTTTTAAATACAAGATTATAAGAGAATTTCATACCTCATTTTCATTAATTGTCGCGTTTTGGTCACACATTTTTATAAATTTTTATAAATTTTTATTGTGTCCTTTATTTGTGTATAACCACAACAGCTAGAAGTGAACGTTTAAGATGCACATTCGAGACTGTAAGATTTAAATCGGAATCATCGTTTTATACTTCCCACTTCAAATGTATGGAATGTAAACAATTTTAGATTACACTCATAAGCTTCGGAATATTTTGAATAGAAAAGCAAGATTGTAATTTATCATTTCAGTTTATCATCACGAAGTGAGAGATAGCATAGAGCCGGAAAAGAAAAAATGTTACATACAATATTATCGAGTATCTTTGTGCAAAGAAAGATTACGGTGAAATTCGTGGAGAGGGGATATCTTTCTCGGTGGAAATAAGTTTCTAGAGGGAGTAAAGTGTATTTGAATGCTTTATAGTACTTGAAATATGGGAATGAAGAGGAATTATATTATCAATATTTTTTGTTTCTACAGTTCTCGTATTAATTGTTTTTAGAAATATTTCTCTAAGATATTTCTTAACTTTATATTTTTACTCTATTCATCTTATCAACGAGAGTTAATTTGCAAATTATGAGATACCTTTACATTGCATAAAGTTATTCAAAAAACCGAAGATAAATCAATATATATATATATGTATAAATGTATTACATATTTAAAAACGAAAGAGAGCTTCTTCCCCACTTAATATTTATGACTGTTTAGTGTAAAAAAATAATAAATTTTAGATTTATAGATATGTTTTATTCAACGTAATATTATTAATAATAAGGTAATTGCCTCGTAAGCGGAGGGCGGTATGGGATGGATCGCATTTCGCATGAGAAATCAAAACCTATGCGAAACAATACAATATATATATATATTATTGCGAAAGTAACCCCGACCTCGCAGCATCGCCAAACTAGTCAGAATGTCCCAAGAATGCTGACTAACCCGAGAATTATGAAATTAAAATATAGAATAAAAAATGATAAAGAATAATGCGCGAACGCGCCGATTGCAACCGATGTGCAAGGATGCTGATTCCGATAACACGTGTCGAAACGTTGACGCACCAAACGGAGAACGCGCCGAGATCGCGTAACAGCGGACCGATAAAAAGAGCGACGAGAATATCAAGTAGGGGCTTAGAATCAGAGGCACGGACGTACGAGTATCGACGCGTAGGATCGCAAGGAAGTGTGATACGATAGTGGTGGATGACTCGAAATTAGCGAACACCCAAGTCGGTTAAATAAAGTGTTTTATTTAATAATCAACGTGCGGTTGTGGCCTCCTTCCCTTCTTCCGACACTCCCGAGTTGCGCCCGGAGCGGCACAGCAAATTGGTGGCAACGGTGGGATTGCTGAGTATCGAAAATTGGAAGAAGACGCTGCCACCAATTATTTAAATAGGAGTAACTTTAAAAATACATTTTAGAAAATGGACCTCAAGAGGATGGCATCAGAAAAAGGAAACATATATATATATATATATTGATTTTAACATACGAGTCATTCAAAGAACGAAATTAAAAGTATTTCGGTTCAATTTACAAATAACTTTCGCTCTTTCTAAAGATAGCCTTGGTAAAAGATGATAAGTTTTAAAGCAATATTTATATTATATAGTGACATAAAAATAACAAAAAATATTTAACTGTAAGATTAAAATAAAAATTAAGTTAATTACACACTTTATTATTTAGTTTTAGTATTTTGTTTACATATTTTTATAAATTATACAATAATTTTCTTGTTTGTATTTCTTCCGCGTCATTTGAATTTTTCTTCCACATTTTTCTGTGTAGATCGATGAGGACTCCCAATTTATACTGTATTTATTTTTTTTTTGGGAACATATAGAAAGGTAGTGGTTTTAAATTACCGCTAATTTGTATTATAATTAATAATGTATAAATAGAAGCAAATTTTTATAAAGGAGAATTATCGAAGTATTCGTAAAAAAATAACATTGTTTATTGAGAAAATAATCTTCTAAAGAGAATTACAATGCAATACTTAAATACTACAGATAGAGTTGCGATATTGATATTTTATTTTGCTATTTTATTTTGTTATTTTCTTTATTATTATTTTTCGTAAATACGTTTTTAAATATTTTTGAGAATTTTTAATAAAAGTTTTGTAGGACATAATTGCGAAAGAGTAAATATACTTTATACCACAAGATCTTATAAGCTGAATGATATCAAAATATATGTAAAAAAATAGCGTGTTCGAACAGAAACAAGTAATTATTGTTACAGATAATTATTGTTTAAACAGAACTTTTAGTCACTATTTTTCTTTTTAATTTTTTTTAATTTATTTAATAAATTATTATGAAATTTATGGAATTCTATGATAAATTATTATGGAATTTACTATGGAATTTATATTTAATAAATTCCAAAAAGAAATTAAAAAGAATGAACGTTAAAAATCCTGCTTGATCGAATAATGCCTGAATTATCTGAATACATATTTCCTATAAGAAATATATATTGTTGTTAATATGAATTATTTGTAGAAAAAGATTGTATTAAAGAAATTTTCTGTTGAAATATGGATAAAAACAAAAATAGCAAATTTTATAAAAGTGTTGAAGTAGTTGGTATAAATTTTGAAGAAATTGATTATTAGCAAAAATAATTATTAAAATTATTTTGTAGAAAAATCATATTCGTGTGTTTTATATTTTAATTTACAATAAGTTTTAGGAAGGAGATGGGAGCAATATAAAAGCAAGCTAATTTTCCGACGATTCCTGTTGCTTATGACATTGCAAATAAAGGATCATGGTGAAGCGTGAGACTTGCCGAGTTTGATCGCTATATTCCACAACCATGAAACGCATTCCTTTCTGGATTCTTGCTCTTTCGTGCAATCAGTGTCCGAGCGAAAATCCAAAGAATTTAGGGCACAAGTTTTTAAATCTGAGTAGAAATAGAACAAATCTGCAGCTTTGTATGAAGATGCCTGCGTGTCAGTGAGATTATTCTTTTAAATTTTGTGAAAATGGATCTTTAGTAAATCTATTTTGTAATTTTTAACGAAAAAATCGTTAAAAATTATTATTTTTTAAACGTTACAAAATAGTCCCTTGAGATGTTCCTCTGGAATTGGAAACGTCATGCATTGCGTTACGGTATATCTTGTTATAATATGTGAGCGGTGGTTTAATAATGAAATGATAAAATTATTCTTACTTTAATCCTTTTTAGTATTTTGATGGTTGACCAATCATTTTTATTAATATTGTTTATTATTTTACCAGATTTGATAATTTTATACATTAAATTTTGTAAATATGCTGACATAATTTACTTTGTTTTATATATTTCATGTTTGATTAATTTCTAATTTTTATTATCTATATGTATAGTTATTAATTAAAACAAGTATTAGATGCATTTTTCTTGATAAAGAATGAAGGAGATAACAGCGCTATTTACTTTCTATTTTTACTTTATATTTTAAAAAATTTATTAGTCAATCCAATATATTATCTTTTGATTAGAAGTTTTAATTTTGAGAAAGTTTTGGAAATTTGTGTTTTGTAGTTAAATTATAATTGCATTTATCAGTTTGATTTGGCTAGTTTCTGATAAATTGCTAATTAGTTTTGTTATCAAGATTTTCTGGCTATCCAGTAAATCTCAAATAACAAACACTAGCTTGTTTTTAACTATGTTTTTCATATATTTTTTTACTTGAAATAATGAATATTAGAATGCAGCCTCAATTATTAGATAGACACTAGATAGATTTTTATGAAATAACAATATGGATTTCCTGACCAGTTCCTGAAGCTAGTTCAAATTTGCTAATGGCTGGATAGTAGCTAGATTATATATTTTAGATAAAGTAACACTCTCTGCTACATATTTTTAATGCAGTCACTGGACAGTCACTGGACAGCAATTACACTTCAAAATTTGATTATGAATATGCAACCAATAATCCGATAACGAGTTAGAAAATTTATTTAATGAGTACTACCGAACTACTAAGTTCTGAATCAGATTAATTAGATTCATTTCTACTCGAGTACATCTCAAAAGCTGAATTTATGAATATGCAGCCAGTAACTACTCAGTGACACATTAGAAAATTTGTCTAATCAATACTACTCCGCTACTAAGTTTTGAATTAAATCAACAAGATTTATTTCTACTCTGATAAATGACATATGTTTACATTTATATCCATTTTAATTTTTAACAATTTTTAACAAAGCGGGAAACATTTTTAATTGTGTACACATTTTTATATGTTTTATTATTTTTATTTATTTTTATAATATATCTTTGTGATTTTTATTTCATCATTTGTAATTCTTTAATTCCTGCAATTTTATTTATTTGAAAAGATTTAGTGTTTTCATGTACGTAACAAAAATTTCTACGGTTTTGTTTATTTGATATATTTTGCATCGCATTATAGTTATAATAATCTGAATATGTTTTTTTAGAAAATTACATTTTTGATAATCTGCTACAATATATAATATTTTTAATTTGCAAACATTTCTTTCAGTTGTTTCTTCGCAATTTTGCCGGTTGGTGTGCGCGGAAGTTGGTCAAGGAATTTAATTCCACCGCGAAGTGCACAGTACCCTGGTAAATTTTCCGCTATCAAATCATGGAGTTCTTTCTCCGTTACCTGTAATTAAAGCGTTTTTGTGGTGAGTACAACGTAACATATGAATTTCGAATAATACAATTGTCACTCTTTTCGAACTCAATGCAACTGGAAATGCTTGTGACATTTACCGTTTTATTCGGCAGTCGAGAAATGACGGCCATTGGACGTTGTCCTTCAGTTTCGTGAGGTATTCCTATTACCGCCACTTGGGATACCGCGGGATGAGACCCTAAAACGTACTCGATTTCTGTGGTCGAAATATTGATGCCATAGAAAAGGATGAATTCGGATATCCTATCGGTGATGAAAACGTTCCCATCATCATCATAATACCCTACGTCGCCGGTGAGTAACCAACCTGAAATGTTTTACATTTTTGTATTTTATTATCTTTTCATCGTTACATTTTAATAATTAATTTATTAGAGACAAAGTTATTATACTTTCCCGATTAATCGTTTGATATTTTGATCAATTGCATACCTTCAGAATCGAAAGCTCGTTTAGTCTCTTCAGGCTTTTTATGATAACCATTCATTACGCAAGGCAGTTTTATACTAAATTCTCCCCTTTGATTAGGTCCCAAAGCTTTGCCTGTTTTCAAATCTGTCACTTTTATTCGGACATTGGGTGCCACGAGTCCAATAGATCCTGGCTTGCAGCCTCTGATCACAACCGTTACGTCACCTCCCGAGTCTGTAGAGCCTAGAAAGATCATGATAATTATTACAATATGATATGACACAATACTGACAAGAAAAGTTGCATAAAGATATTATGAATATTATCTCAAATAATTTTAAACATATTCAAACAAAATTTTTTCATCATGAAATTTTAATCTGTGTTTCATATTATTCAAGAATTATTTAAATTATTCAAATTATTAGAGCATTATCACTTATTAAAACTTTATATTCGATATATTACTTACTTTTAAACAATATTTTTATTTATCGCTTTGATAAAAAATATTAAAAAATATTGATATTAACGTTTTTATGAGTTAATGTTAACGATATAATAGATCTAAGAAATAATATAACATAAGAGGTTAAAAATTAAATTGTTACCATAGGCATCTGTAATAAAAACGTGAGGTAATTTCTTAGCCAGAGATAATTTATGTTCCTTTTTAAAATGAGACCCGGCATTCATTACTTCCTTCAAGGTTGGCAATTTATATTTCTCCAATACGTCGGATTTATAAAATCGCGTTAGCATGCCGGGTTCAGTACAAAACCATGTTACCTACTCAAAGCAATATTAATTATTATAATATTACTTATTAATATTATATTTTTTCCATTTAATCGTCATTTAAAAATCCAAATCCTTTATAACAGACTTTGGAATACTTAATACGAATTAGAGCTTACTCCGTATTTTTCGATGAAACTACACATTGCTGCATCATCGTTGTTATACATGACGCTGCAAGGTGAAAGAACTTTTGTTGCATACGCCAAAATAGCGTGAAATGCTAACTGGACACCATAATGCCAGCGCAATGTGGGCGACCACAGACAAATATGACCTTCCAATTCCGTGACTTTCTCGGGCAGTAAGCAATTATACAGGGATGAATGTGATATTTCGGTGCCCTTCGGCATGCCCGTAGTGCCTGACGAGAGTGAGATGAGAGCAACATCGTCCGGATTGCTGATCTTGGCACATTTAAATTCGGCGATCTCGCGAGTATCGTGACCTTTCGTGATATCGTCCACAGACTCATATCCATCCAGTTTGTGGAATACCACTATTTTCAAATTCATATTTAACTTCTTCGCTGCTTTTTGTAAACTCGGGACCGACGTTGGCATGGCGAACACTATTTTTGGTGATGTCAATGAGAGAAAGTATTCCGCAGTTACTGAACAAATACAAATAAATAATTAAATTTTATATATATATATATATATATATTATTTATATAATATTTTGCTTAGATGTTAATCATGCAGTCTTAAGTAGATTAATAACAAATCTAATGTTATTGATGTTAAAAAAGTCTTTTATAAATATTGCGTTTAACGTAAAATAAGTTCATTAATATTTACGTATTTTTACAATATAATTTTATGACACAATTACACTATGATTTGACTACACAAGAAAAGTGATAATAATAATTGAAATATACGTACTTGGGGACAGTTCGTAATCCCACGGATTAGATATTGCACCTATATACATGGTTCCTAACAGTGCTATGATCCCATCCATGTCGTTATCGCAGCAAAGACCGATTATATCACCGGATTTAATACCCTGCTTCTTTAGCCAAAGGGCACATTTAATACTGCGCTCACTCATGTCGGCGTAAGTGTGCTGCTTTCCCGTAATTGCATCTATCTGTGTAGAGTATAAGGCTAAATGCTTAAATTTTTCTCATGAGGTTTTATATGCATTCAGATGAAAATTAGCATCGATATAATTTTTTTATATTAGTAATACAGATTTTTAAAAAAATTTTAATAGATCTTTGTCGAAATACCTGACCAATGCAGTCTGGCTTGCTCTTCAATGTCGTAAGTAATACCTCGGATATGTTAATAGGATCTCTATTAATCGGTATTTCTTTTCCTATTAGAATATTGTCTTCAATTCTGAATTCACGAATAACATCGTGATAATGAGGTACCTGCGTTTTTAATACAAAATTATATATTAAAAATTTAAATCAAATTTTAAATTTATATTGTTCTCATAAATAATTGTTAGAATTTTTACAAAGATTATCGAATTGTTAAAATTATCTTGTCGTAGTTTGTGCAAAGAGATTTATGAATATTTTAATAATTTTAATAAGACTATTAGTTAATTTTAATAATATAATATTAATGGATATAGAGATGAAATATATTTTTTATGAAGCTAGTATTGTAAATATTTCTTTTACCTTCCTGTTATTAGCTGCTGTCATTTGTTCAGACATCTTTATAAATCTTCTAATAACTTTTATTTTTCGTTTATCTAGTAGTAATTGGATCACATTAATAGACTGCACATGAATCAAAGCGGAATTAACAGCTCAAGTCTTTTATTGGCAGAAGTAAAAGCTACTCTATTATCACTCCCACTCGAAATATCACTCGAAAAGTATATTGTAAGTATATATATCATTGAATCATCTCTATTAAGATTATGAAAGCGAGAGGAAATAAATATTTGTACAATTAGTATCACAGAAATAACAAAAAATGAAAACCAGGAGACATAACAAGGAAAAGAGGATGTAGCATAATATCACAATATCACAATATTTATGTTATTACACAATATTTCACAATACGTCACAATATTTATATATTTATATGTTATTTATATGTTTTTAGTAAAAGAAAAAATGTAGTAAAAACAATAATGCTTGAGAACTTTAAATTTTTTGAAATGTGACAATTATCATATGGTCTATTTTGTATTATTATTCTTTTTACTTTATTTTTTATAAAGTAATTTTCAATTTGATTTTGTGATTAGCACCATACACGTTTTCAATCAAAGTAAATAAAGATTATAAAAAAATTTATATACGGTTTATCTATGCAAAAAGCTTAACAACTATATTAATAACTTATATTTAATAAATGTAACTTATACATAATAATTTATATGTAATAAATGTAACTCATTCTTTAAATTTTGATATAATTTATTTTTATTATAACTAATCATAATAGTATTTGGTATGCAAAATTAATATAATACAATATAATACAATAATACAATATATAATACAATATTTTTTAACGAATTTGGAAATTAAAAACGATACAAAGAAAAATTAATGCATTCTATAAATTTTATAGCATAGTACATAATTCAATTATAATCTATGTACATATTTATTATACATACAATATATATTTTTATTTTGTCATTGGTATAAATTCATATCCACACATATCGATCTTTTTACTTAAGAAATCTTTATATTTCTGTAAGTACATCAAAGTATATTGAATCCTACTACGTTACAAATGATAAGTAGATAAATATGATATACATTGAATTTAGAACGATTTCATCAAATTTAATCATGATATGACTGAAGATAATCTTTGAGTACAAGAGTGGAAAAAATAATCTGTAACAAAATTTTATATGATATATTTCGATAATAAAACTCGTATTTATCTGTCTTATTGCTTTTATTTTGTAAGTATTCTTTATTATCGCATTTTTTAAATACGATTAATTACGTTATATAATTTATCGCGATGCAATGCTATATCTTAATCATTTTGAAACATACGATATTTTTTTCAACGATTTAACTGGCGTAACTTTTTGCTAATAGTTTTAATTGTTTTCTATCAATCTTTCCAGTAGTGAGACGCGGAAGTTTGTCCATAAATTTGATTCCTCCTATAAGTTTGCAGTACCACGGTAAATTCTTGTCTACTAGATCATGCAACTCTTTCTCTGTTATCTAAAAAGTGAGTTAATATTCTTGATTTGAGTTTTTAGCCTTTTATATTTGTTCTAAATTAATTATAATATTGTGTAAAATAATATCTAAATATATAAATTTTTGCTTAAATAGATTTGACGAAAAATTAAAGATTTCAATTATAAATAGAAATATTATATATTATATATGATTATTAATATATTAAAAAAATTTTTTGAAAAATGTCTTTTATAAAAAAATGTCTTTTTTAAAGAGTAGATAATTTTATTTTTTCAAAGGAAAATATACTTAAAAAAATATATATATAAGAAAATATGGAGATATGTATTAATTAATTATTGATACAGTTATGATGCATAATGTACCTCTTTTCCGATTACTTTTTGAATAAATGCCATCGGATATTCGACATCCATTTCATGTGGTATTGGAACTACCACAGCATGAAGAACTGAAGGATGAATTTCAAGTACACCCTCTACTTCTGCGGGTGACAACTTAATACTTCTGTAGTTAATAAAATCCGAAATCCTACTAATGAAGTAAATCTCGCCTTCCTCATCATAATATCCTATATCTTTGGTATGTAGCCAGCCTATAAATATGTGAATAAAATTTATTTTATTTAAATTACTTTATATTTACGTAAATTTATTGTTTTCAAAATATTAAAATTTTTTTAAATTAAATTATTTTTGAGTTATGATCAAAATACCGTCTGAGTCGATGGCGGCTTTAGTTTCTTCTGGATTTTTGTAATAAGATTTTATTATAAATTCCGATTTTATACAAAGTTCACCCCTCTTGTTAGGTCCTAAAGCTTCGCCAGTTTTTTCGTCTACCATCTTTATCCGTATTCCTTTGGTCACAAAGCCACAAGAACCTGGCTTGCTAGTTATGGTTTGACTCGCACACAATCCACCAGCATCTGTTAAACCTGAAGAAATATTTTGAGATGGTTGAAAATCTTTCAGAAAATAATTGAATGATTTCATTATAATATTATCGTATATTATATCTTGCTGTGTTTTTAAATTATTAAATAATGCATTCCGCAGATTCAACAATTTTATTTATTTTACCGTAACAATTTAATATTTGTGTATGTGGCAGTATTTTCGCAACAGCTTCTTGCATGTTTTTTGTAAATGGCCCACCAGTAATGACAAGCTTCTTTAGACACGTCACAGGATGTTCTTGTAAAATATTATATTTGACTAAACGGTGCGGAAAGGAAATATCGCATCCAAACCATGTTATCTAACGATAATACAATTAGAAAATTACAATTAGTAGAAATAATGTTTTTTTAACTAGAAAAATTTAAAAAATATTTTTTTTCACTTAAAGTTATTTTTCTCAATACTAATGGCAAACAAATTGCATATATGGAATTAGAGACAAAATTGTCGCTTATTTAAAAAAAATTAATATTAGTCATTAATTCATTTTTTGAATTTTTATATTTATTTCCCAAACTCACTCCGTATTTCTCGATAGCATCGCATATTTTAGCTTCGTCCTTGGTTAGATGTTCGGGCAAAATGATCCATTTCGCATTCGACAGGACCAATTCAAACATCACAGTTAATCCATAGTGCCATCGTATCGTAGGCAACGTTAATGTTACCTCATTGATCATATGAACCTCTTCGATAGGGGTGATGCTATTATAGAGGGACACATAAGACAGCTCAGTTCCTTTCGGCATACCCGTTGTACCGGAAGAGCCGCAGATCATCGCTGTGTCATAAGGATTATCAACATTGGTGCAACGGAACTCATCGATCTCCGAAGGGGTGACTTTATCCTGAAGAATGTCCGTTAGGGACACGAATCCTGGCAGGCTACCGATAACTATAACTTTAACTTCCAGATTTTCTTCCTTTGCGGCTTCCACCAGATTCTCGGCGGATTCCGCATTAACGAAAACCACTTTTGGAGATGTTAACGACAGGCAGTATTGTGCGGATACTGAAAAAAATTTGTGATATATTTGAAATTACTTAACAGTCATGTTACTAACAATTATTTAGAAACTAATTTATCGCTATGAACTTATATTTTTTGTTACAAATTGCGATATTTTACGTTATTGCATAAATATACTTATATAAAAAAATGACATACTCTTCGATACTTTGTCATCCCATGGGCATATTATTGCGGCGACATACAGACTTGCGTATACCGGTATATAAGTATTTATATGATTTTCAGTCCATATGCCAATCCTGTCGCCTTTTTGGATGCCATTCTTTCTTAACCAAAGGGCACATTTAATACTTTGTTCTTTCATTTCCGCATAGGTACTTTCTTTCCCCGAAGCAATCTCCACCTAAATATTTCACAGAAATTGGATCAGTTTTTACATTTCATATAAATTT